TCAAGCTTCAGCTTCATGTTTGTTTCCTGATGAAACATCGTGCTGATTATAAACCAGCTGATAAAACACCAGACCTTCACAGTAACACAAGAGCAGCTGATGATGCGGCTCACCTGCCTCAGGTGGTCCTCAGCTGCTCTCTGCTGCAGGCTGAAGGAAGGCAGAGGAAAACTCCCAACATCTGGAGGAAACAGGCAGCCTGACCTCCAGCTGCTGCCTTCAGGTGTGTGTGTGTGTGTGTGTGTGTGTTTCCTCCGTCAGTCTTCAGCTCTGTGTGATGTTTAAGGCTGTTGTTGAGTCTCTGCAGGAAGTACAAAGTTTATTGAGTTCCCGCGCTGGTCCAGCTTCACCAGAGTGCAGCTTTAAAGGCTAACGCTGTTAGCATGCTAACGTGATCTGCTCCAGAGCTCCAGAGTTTCTGTTCCACGAGGCAAAGACACAAAACCATGAGCGCCACAGTTCAGGACGAACAGGCGAAGCGGCAGCCTTCTACCTGTGACAGGTGCTGCTGTCTGTAGTCTACCTGCAGAGTGACGGTCCAATCAGAAGGAAGCTGAACACTGGTGATGTTTAAAATACTGATAGCGGAGTGGACAGAGACCGAGAAAGAATACACACACGTCACACACATGTACGCAAACAGGAGCTGCATAGAGTCATATAAATCTGATATAAAGGATGTATTAATGAATTATGAATGAAATATTAATCAGAGTGTGTTCCAGTCTCTGTGAGTGATGCTGCTCGTCCTCTCATCGAAATATGAATTAGATATGAATGTGATATAAATAAATATAAATGATCTATGAATCTGATGTAAATAAATATAAATTAAATATGAATATAAGAGATAGTGTGCGATCTAAACCGTGTTGTGTTACAGTCTCAGTGATGCTGCTTCGTCCTCTGGCGGCCATGTCCTCTCTGAAGGTCACGCTATTTATAATCCGGCTCTCTTAAAGGAGACAGGACGAATTATACAGCAAACCGTGTGTGTGTGTGTGTGTGCCGTGCACTAATAACACCATGTGATTATCTGTTACACACCACATGTTGTGTAGAGACACGATTGTCTGCTTCATTTAGGTCGCAGTAATCTTTGTGAGTCTGTCAACGGAATGTGGTCAACAAAACACACTAATGG